CAGCCAGAGATGTGCTGAATATCAAAAAAAAAAAAAAAAAAAAAAGAACAGTTAAGGGTTCTTTGAACAAGGTTTACTAAGTGGTTAATCTGTGAGCAGAGAAACACTTGGGCCCAAAAATGGCACAAAGTTCAGGCTCAGGAAGTAGAGGAAAGGGTTTTAATGGTAGTGAGAAAACTAATGAAGAAGCTTTGAATGATGGGTTTAAGCAAGAAGCCTTTAATTTTGGGGAGGGACTATAAAAGAGGGAAAAGGTAATTCATTGGTTACTTTGGGATATTGTTTCTTCACGACTGATTTGGCCTCTGTTGACTTAGTCTGAAGGATTTTAAATTGCCAAACTGATATAAACCAGGCTCTCATGTCCCAAAAAGTCCCTGGGTGACAGAAACAGTTTGCATTTGGGTGGTAAACCCACCCAGCAGCACCACAGAAGAAAGTCCTGGCAATCTGCTTCCATAAAGATTACAGCCAAGAAAACCCTATGGAGCAATTCTTCTTTAATACATGGGGTCACCATTGAGTCAGAATCGACTCAACGCCACAAGACAACAACAACATGTCCCAGTTAGCACATCCCAAAGTATTTCAGTATGTTATCTCTTGAGAGAGGACTGACTTTATGTAGGACGCTAGGCATAAATTTAGTGCTGCTCTGAAAGCCAGGCCTAGGAAAACACCCAAGGTTACCGTTGGGACAGCCGAAATTTACTGCTTGAGTTTGAACCTTTAGCAAGAATCAAGGGGGTTGTGTGTCTGGGCAGATGACAATTGGGAAGCACTGAAGTAATTATCTTCTGTGGTTAAACTCATAAAGCTCTGTATTTCTATCTGACCTTGCTGATGACACCACCACCACTATATCAACGTAATGTACACCAAGGACAGACAGTAGACACTCACATCAAACTTCTGTTTAATTACCTCGAGGGACAGTGATGAAAAGGATGAAGCCAAGCCTCCAGCTGCTCTAGGATCGATCAGAACAATGGTCATTCCAGCTTTTGGTATCTCAGGAGAGGGCACTGATCACCTCTGTCCCTCAGGTTCTTCGTGTGAAATGGGAATAACTTTGCCTTCCAGGACTGTCAAGAATACAATGTAAATAATTTAAAGCACATACAGGACAGGGTGCAATATCTGCCACACAGCAATATCCCTCAATGTAGGTTGTTGTTATTATTGTTTTTATTAATTTCTTCATACTCATTATGTATCCATTTTCTCTTTCTGCTGTAACAGAATACCACAACCTCAGCAACCTGAATAACACAAATTTATCATTTTACATTTCTGTAAGTCAAAACCTTAACAAGGGTCTCCCAGGCTAAAATGAGGGTATAAACAGGTCTGCATTCCTTTATGGAGGTTCTAGAGGACAATCTTGTCCCTGCTTTTGAGGATCCAGAGGTCACTGCACTCCTTGACTCTTGGCCTCCTTTGTTGTTTTATAGCCAACAACATGTAAAACCTCTCAAGCGTCCTCCATTTTCACAGGAGTTTCTGACTCAATCTGGGGAACGGTCTCCATTTTTAAGGACCCATATATCAACACTCGGCCAAGCCAGATATTCCAGAATAATCTCCCCAACTCAATAACTTCACTTTAATCAACTTCTAAAAAGTTCATTTACCATGTAAGATAACATATACACAGGTTCAGGCGTTTCAGATATAGATTTTTGGGGGGAGGCCATTATTCCGACTACCAAACATTACTACCATTGTTATTTACTAGGTATAAAAGTACAGCAATAAATAAAAGGTTTATAAATGAGTTTCTACCTCATTTAAGCCTCATGAAAAATGGTGGATAATCCCAGGAGGTCACACACAGGGCAAACTTGTTGTCCTCTTAGGGCAGGACACTCAGTGGATGGCCAACCCCAGACCTTCCCCTCCAAAGTGCATATCCAAGACTAGGTCAGAGATTGTGGCTATAACCCACATTCCACCCCACCTCCATGCAAGATCATATAATAGCTTCATCCTGGGAGAGGAGCCCAGCTCAGTCTTAAACTCATATGTGATGGAGACCTCCTCTGCTTTCACCTGGCCCATCTGGCCTGCACCTACAGCCTCCAAATCCGCTGGTCACAATGCAGGCAGTCAGTCCCCCAGCCCCTCTCCAAAGCCAAAAACAAGACAGATGGAATACACATTTAGGGAAGAATCGCATAACTAGCCTGGTCCGACCCTCTGGCTATAGCCACTTCCCAGGTCCAAATGTCCAGGACTGTGCATATCCTCTAGGGAAGTACAGGGCCTGAGCTAAGCCTCAGCCCTCCACACATCCAAATTTCCCTTCCTGGTCCCCAATCCTCATGGGGTTTTACATTCTAAGATTATAAGGGAAGGTTCATGACATGCCCTGTTTGGTCTGATCCTAGGGGTGTCTGGGTCTAGCACCTTCTTTAGGCCCAGAGTTTAGGGCCTCTGTAGGGTGAGGAGAGAGTGTATTTCAGGGTAAGAAGGAGCAGAGTTATGTATGGGATTCCAGGGTGAATGGGAGCCTGCACAGGGGAGAGAGGAAATAAAAACTGAAAATGTAAGCAATGTGAGTTTTTCACCATCTTTTTGAAGTTTATTGATACTTGAAATGTTTTGAAGCTTATTGATACATAAACCACACAACAAAATACGTGCACAGGGTAAAAGTACATGCGTACTCATCATGACAGAGTTTGCACACCCCTCATTGCAGCAGCCAAATCGAGACACTCCATGAAGAACACAATTAAAGACAATATAACTGAAGTACTTGGGTGCTGCATGGGCTTTATGAGTGTAATGTTCTTCAGTAGTGTCTCATTATGTTAGGATTCCATCATTGTACATGCTTTCTAAAGTAGGAAATGAGAGTACTGGAGAGATATGTTGCACAGACTCATTTATATGACTCCATTCACAAACACCAGGAGACACTGGGATGCAGGCACTGGTGTGGTACAAGTGCACATACGGATATTCCTAGAGACAGGAGGGATGCCATCTGCAAGCTTGCTTCAGTTTAGTGTCACATGACCAGTAAAGGTCATACTGTGCCTGGGGAGTGAAAAAACCACAGTAAAGTTCAGCTCCCACTTCTTTTCTGTCCTAGGACCCATGTCACTAAGGAAAGAGAAATGTGGTAGGTTATAGTGAACCAAAAGTGGACCCTAAGAGCATAAAAAGGAGATGTTCCAAGTTGAAGAAACAAAGATCTGGGAGAGAAAGCCAGCAATAAGAAGAAAGAAATAATCAACAAATCCTGAGCTGCAGGAACAGCTAAGAGGTCTACTTACAGCTACATCCTTCTTTGTAGTCTTCCTTTAAGGCTTTTCTCTGGTCTTCATTGACAGTCTCCCAGAACATCAGTTCACACTTTGACACACATAATATGTTATCACTGCCATAGAAATGACCTTGAAAAAAGAGATGCTGCCCTAGTGGCGCAGTGGTTAAGAGCTCAGCTGCTAACAAAAAGGTTGGCAGTTCAAATCCACCAGCCGCTCCCTGGAAACCCTGCACGGCGGTTCTACTCTGTCCTCTAGGGTTGCTATGAGTCAGAATCAACTCAATGGCAAAGAGTTTAGTTTTCTGGTTTATATCAAAAGGGTGTGGACACATTGTAGTCCACAGGTGTTCACACTCAGAGTCTCAGAACACCTGAGGAACATACAGAAGCAGCCAGGACTGCCAGGTTCAAGAATACAGTGTCCTGGGGAAAAGTCAACAGGGCAAAGTTCTGGGGTGGGGATCCTGTGTCACCAGGTTCATGAATGGGATCCAGTCTGGAGGGATTCACACAGGGGTGAGAGGACCAGGAGCTCGGGGTGGATCAACTCTTCCCACATAAGTATTACTTTCTCAGGTGACAGTAGCTCATGTATCATAGGACAGTGCCTTTGTGTATATTCACAGATTACAGGGTGTAAGGTGCCTTTCAACATCTATGAGAAGAAAGTGGAAGAGTGATGGGACTGCAGAGCTTCACTGTGGGATCCAGGGACTTGTTATTCTACCAGGGCTGTTGCATTTCTAAGACCCGCCCCCCACCCCCTCACACCCTCAGCCATAGCAGGCTCAAGGGGTTGTGTGTTTATGGGGATATGAATTTTGGGAGGATCGATGGATTTACCCTGATGATGTTAAAGTCATAAATGTGATTCATTCCAATTACATTCCTGACTCTTCACTGATTCAGCAAGAAATACTGTGGATAAGAAGAAAATATTCAGGAGAAACTCTGACCTATACATATCTAGGTATTCAAGATTCTAATCATTCACTTGTATCCAAGCCTCAACATGACACAGTTTATGAAAACCAATGACCTTCCATGTCCAGCCAACTTTGTGGGCCAGAAGACACAGGATATTCATCTAAAATGAGAATCCCCATGGTGGTGGTCCCTCTCAGGTCCATACCGATCTCCAACATCATTACTGCAGTAAACCATATGAAAATAATAACACAATTACAATACAGTACAGCAGGAGGGACAAACAGTGGCAGGAGCAGAATAGAAGTCAGCAGGAACGTTGGCTCCATGCTAGAGACCTGAAGGACACAGTAGGAGGGAATTACCACCCACTCACAAAAAAACTTATTCTTCACGCTAATGTCTGAGATAGAGCTGATTTTGTGAAAGCATCTACCCTCCTTGACTTCTGTGATGTTGGGAGACATGAAGTTTCCCCCCAGGAACTCACGGCAGAAAAGGCACTGTGTCCCTAGTACACATGGTCTGCCTTTCTAGTCTGGAATATGGCATGCCGAAAGTTCTGCAGGAAGCCAAAGCTCAAGGGGAGGATATATAGTCATCACTAGGAGGAGTGGCCTGAGCATCATGGATTGCAAGCCACACCCCTGCTGTTCAACCCTTCTAGAGATGAAGCCCCTGGCCATCTATAAGAGTGGGAAATAGGTAATGGGTGACAACAGCTGAGGCCCTAACAGTTTCTTAATCAGATTTTCAAATCATCTTCTCTCTTACCCATATTCCTGGCATGTACACATGTCCTGGCCTGGCCCTTCAAGCTGCAGCTGCTTTCCAGATTCCACTGTCTAGATCTGAGTTTATCATCTGGGGAGATAGACGGTCCCACCTAGAACTTTGCCCTGCACATATTCAAAGTCCCCTCCTTGGAACCCAGACCACGGTTAATTTTTAAATTGCTAAGATTTTTGGAGCATGTTCATGGTATGCTATATCCATTCAACTCTCAGCGATTCTGCATCCAGCACCTTCTGTAGGCCCAGCGTTTATGGCCTAAGTCAGGTGAGGCAGAGATAGTGCTTTTCAGGATAAGAAGTAGCAGGGAGAGTCTAACGGGGGAGAAAGGAACTGAATGAAGATGCAGCTAAGATCTGTCAACAGTGTGAGTTTTCAGCCATTTTTTTGCAGATTAGTATTTGAATTTTTTTTAAGTTTGTGGATGCATATTCAAGAAAAAGAAATGTGTATACATCAGTTTGTATATATATTCACCTTGCCAAAGGTAACACATCTGTAATTCCAGCACCCAGATCAAGAAAAAGTCCACGAGGAGGACCCCAGAAAAAGATGATATTGGAAGGCTTCAGTGGCCCGTGAAATAGTGTTCTTTGAGAGTTTCACAGACTTTGGCGAGACGTTTAGAATGTGCGTGAGATGGCACGACCTGGAAGAACTAGAGGGACATGTTGGATGTCCTCATTTACATCTCCATTTCCAGACACGATGAGACAGGGAAATGAAGACACAGGTCTCGACAAGTGTGAGCACTGTCAGCCCTCAGGACCGATGGGGCTCCAGTGGCACCACTGGATGAGGACACTAGCACAGGTCATACAGGTGTCATGCCGAACCTGGGTAGAGGTCCCTGGGTGGTGCACCTGGTTTGCACTCGTCTGCTAAGTGAAAAGTTGGCAGTTTGAACTCACCCAGAGGAAAGTCAAAAGAAAGGCCTGGAAAAAAGTCCTGGTGATCTGATTCTGTAAAGATTACAGACAAGAAAACCCTAAGGAGCTCAGTTCTGCTCTGTAACACAAGGGGTCGCTATGGGTTAGAATCGACTAGACAACAATGGGTTTGGTTTGGGATTTTTGGGGAGAGTAGAGAAGCCACAGCCAAGTTAAGTTCTCCATTCCTCCATCCCTGGGTACCGCCCCATTT